CGAGGCGGCGGCGCGCCCCCCGCGGGGGTACCCCCTGGGGGGCGGGCTGGCCGCTCCATCCTCATCCTCCTCCAGCCCCCCCACGGGGACAGCCCTGCCTGCCGGCCCCGGCCGGGCTCAGCTCAGCCTCAGGACTTTCTATCGAGGTTTCGTTTTTTCCTCCCACGTGAAACACCCAGTTTCCCTGTTCTCACCCGGACCCGAAATAAACCCCTGTGTTACAACCGCCTGCCACTCCTGCTGCATCCTCGCCGGGACCGCAGGCAGAACCCCCTCCTGCCTGCCCTGCCCGCGATGCCGCATCTCCGAACCTGCTGAGAGGCATGAAACGCCCCAGACAAAACCCTGCCGGGGCCAAGGGTGGCATGAGGCACGGAGATGATCGTCCCTCCGGCCAGCTCCACGGCAGCACAGGACCCTCCTGGCCACCTCACCCGGCAGGTCCCCTCCCAGCCACGGGCATCGGGATGCCAGCACCCACCCATCATCCTTGACCCCATGGGGATACGCACAAACCCACTGACCCCTTTGGGTTTCCTCCACCGTGACTCAAACCAACCAAGGCAGTTTTAGCACCCAAACATCCCCCCCTGAATTTTCAAGCCAAATCTCACGAGGCTCCACCTGCACTGGGGGCTTGCGCAGGGCTAACAGCAGGTTGGGGTGACACAGGGTGGCATCGCGCCTTCCCCGGGTGTCTCTGAGCAGGGGAAGGGGGAGAGGGCAGGAAAAACCATCACCCAGGGCCAGACCAAGGGACTTGGGGATGCTTTGCTATGGGAGAGGAAAAGGCAATCAGAAATAAAGCCAGAAAAGCAGGTCCTGCCCTGCCCGGTGGCACGGGGACAGGAGCGGGGACAGGGGGGTCAGGGGAGCCACCGCAGGGGACGCATCCAGCAGGACCGGGGTGACCTCCTGAGGCCCTTTCAGCCCCATTTTTATGGCCTGTTTTGGCAAGGAGGGGGAAAACACCTTCCTGCCCAGGAAGAAGGTGGCTCTTTGAAGCCCCCCAGGCTTCACCCAAGGTGGAGGGCGGCTGCACCCCAGCCAGCACCAGGGTGGGGGGCTGCACGGTGCCTCATTTGCAGAGCACGAGAGAACTACGGTGGCGGCTCACGGGGAACAAAACAGGCAAACTGAGGGCAGATTTTAGTTTTAAATGCAGCAAGTGCATCCCCCCCATCATCTCCAGCCACGTC